TTGGATCTTTGGTTGGTGTCGACTAACACGACTTATGCTAAACTAAAACTAGACTTGGACTTGACTTGAGTGGAGACTTGTTTGGAATGATATTGAGATTTATGGAATGACTTGACACTAAATTGTCTCGGCCTTTACCTCTGGATGCCTACAGATTCATTTCTTGGTGTGATTTGAATTCAGAATGAAGTGAATGACTTGATAATTCACACGAGCCTGATTCTAAACCTTGAGTCTTAACATTTATTCATAGATTGGACTTGGACTTGTTTGAAGGCCTCGGTTTGTCCTTTCTGATTGGTCCGCAGGTCAGTAAGCTGATTGTCCTCGACCCTCACAAGCGCCTCAGTGTCCGGGAGGCCCTGCAGCACCCCTGGGTGCTGGGCAAAGCTGCCCGGTTCTCTCATATGGACACGACCCAGAGGAAACTACAGGAGTTCAACGCTCGACGCAAACTTAAGGCTGGTCCTTTGTCATAGTTTCATTTCACAGTGATTGGTTTTGTGGGCATCAAAGGTCATAGAAGACTTTTTTTTGTCATTTTAAGATTTGAGTTGACATTTTGGGAGATAAACTAGGAATGACTCTTGTACATTGGCATTTTGAATTGATTGAAATTACAGGACAGGGTAATGGAGAAACATATTTAACTGGGAAGCTGAAAGCAAATATCAACTCAACATAGTTGACAAATCTGCTTTAAAGACTTTTAAAAGCTCCTGAATACTCACTCACTTTTCTGTGTGCTGACAGGCGGCCATGAAAGCTGTCGTGGCCACAAGTCGGATGCATGAAGGTTCGCGGCGTCGCACAGACAGCTGTGACATTCCAGGTTCAGGGGCTTCCAGGCAGAGCAGCATGCAGCAGGACCCGCCTCCTGAGTCTGCATGCTCCACCCAAAAAGACAAAGAGGCTCCACCTCCTGACCAGCAGTTGCCACAGGAAGTTGAATCGAAGTCTGCTGACCCAAACGCCCTCAGCCCCTCTCCTCCACACAGCCCCAAACTACCCAGCTCTGATGTCACACCCACAGGGCCCATCCCCACCAGACCGCCACTGCGCACTGATGGGCTGCGACAAGTATCTGTAATCCCTAAAAGCATGCTGGTCCAACCCCGGCTGCCGCAGAAAAGCTGCTCTGCCATAGAGCCCACCCCCAGAGTTGGGGCCACACCCACACTGGGCTCACCCCCGAGTCCCAACAACCTCAGCAATGGCTTCACATCTGGGGCGGAGCCTACCAGTAAGACCACCCACTGCCAGTGATCACATGGCAAAAATAAAAAATTCTTGACTCGTTCAGCTTTCAGCATCTAAATTAACTTATTTGGACCAAATTACAGTAAATCTGCAGTTCACATCGCACATTAACCCGCATCACCACACGTCTGCGATCTCTTTAGCTTACATGCTAACAGATACTGATTCATGGAGGGTTCGCTGGACATTTCTAAAGATGAGCAGGTGTTTTATCTTCTGTTTTTTAGTATAAAGGCCTTCGATTTCTCCCATCAGCGCTCGTTTATGTGAGGGTTGACTAAAAACACAAGAAATGTAATGAATGTGAATTGTGTCTGTTTAGCACTTCAGTCTCAGTAGCATTGTCGAGCTTGTTTGCTCATTTTCACTGAGACAGTGTTACGCTAAGTCAGAGACAAATAACCAGCATGCTGATGAGCAGTTATCACGGCCGTGCACATCTGGACTGGAGGGCGTGTTAGCATTTTATCTCACCCACTGCAGCACTTCATCAAGTAGCTCTGAATTATTCAGCACATCAGCAAAACTCAATATATTTTTGCAAAGACTCAACATATTTGGAAAAAATTCGAATAATAAAATAACTCGTAAGAGCTACAATTTATTTGTCTTACCACAGAAATGAACCAGTGACGTGTGTTT